GAAGGCCTGACATGCGGCACGAGCGAGGAAAGATGGCTCTAGAGTACTTCTTATGATGGCACAAGTCGAAAATGGGAACAGGGAGCCTGCTATCTTTGGTCCAGATGTAACGTCAGGACTATACAGTCTGGTCCGCTCCGGAGGAAGGGGAGTGTCCGGCGGAATGAGTCCGGCGCGCTGCCAACCCGTAATCCACCAGTTGTTAAAGCGGATAATGGGCCACAGTTGGTGGAAATCGACCGATACGAACGATATGATACAGCCTTGTCGCCTGCTCACTTCAGGATTGGTGAAAACGGTTTTGTTCTGCGCCAAACCCATCCAGTCAAACGCCGTTTCAGCCCCAGGGAACAGGACTATACGTTGTGACACAGGGGAATGGAACGATGTGCGCTGAACGACTAGATAGGGATTGATCGGTTCTGAATCGCGCGTTCCTTGACTGGTGGGTGGGGTTGATCGATTCCATTTAACCCTTTAGCTTCAGTCCTTTAGCGTGCTTTCTTTGAACTCGCGTATTCTTCAGTTCTCCTTCTCCCTCTCGCCGATTCTTCAGTGTCGCAAAGTATGAACGCAGCCTAATCGCTTTGTTGTCCGGTATATCTGCCTGCTTTCGTTACTTATATGCGTTATATAAATGAGAACTCAATTGCCACTTTTTCTAGAAGTTATTTTGTTCTTTATTCTTCACAATCGCAATATTTCAGTGGGTGACATGGGAAAGCGGCGAGGTTCAACCTTCGATAGACGAACTGCCAGTCCTACATACTGCGTTCGTCCAGACGGGGGAGGAACTTCACTACTTCAGCGAGTCAGGAAGATTTGAAACGCATTGGTAGTCGGTCACAGGGTTCAAACTGACACTGCCAGCGGAGGCACTAAAGCAAGGTTAGTAGTGTGTGTGATGTCTTTCGTCTGTTTTCCCCTCCTCCTCTTAATTTGTTTTTGCTCAGAGAGAAGAAATATAACGTCAAAAAGTTGCATGGAGACGAAACGATGCCGATCGCGTTTGATCCGCCATTTGTCGAGTTCGGCGACAAGTAGGTTGATTCTCATCATATTTCTTTCTGAACGAAATTACATTGCTGGTTTTCCAGTGCTGTGGGTCACTCTGTGAAACGACGTGTGTTCATTAGAAGCCTGCTCCAGAAGCCTATTACACTAGATTCTATTGCTGGAGCTACAGTGAATTTTCACATATCGTTCTTCAACACCGTTGTAAGTCCCAGATCTTGGAATCAACCCATTTTTCTTGTCTATAGAGTGAACTTCTTGAACTCACGTTGAGAGGCTCCACATTTCTAGGAAATCGCTCCTCTTGGTACTGCATTTTTCGAGATTGTATTTCTTCCTCGTGAGGAAGGCCGGACAAGCGTTGCCATTAACATACGCACTTCCGTTGGAATCTTCATATATGAAGTAGGTTTCCCTATTTTATCATCATAGATAGAACACGTTTTACCTTTACTGTCTCACTCTTCGTAAAACCAGACAGATTTCAATCGAAATTTCTCTCTTGAATTAGATTTAGCCAGAAGTTGATCCTGGGGGGAAGGATGGTTTGATCCTTTGAACGCGATTATTACTTTCATATGGGATGAAAACGCTTGGCGTCCCTGCCACGAAAGCGAGCGGCACAAGGTGGTTTTCCCCAGCGCACGTTCAAAGCGTTTTCATATCAGGTGATATTGTGTGATTTTCATAGTCAGGAGGCCAAAATTTTCTTGGGAACAAGTTTTCAAAAGTTCTGTGTGTCGGTTGTTTTGACTCGGCGATTTGAGCGAATGTGCGGAGCGGCATCCAGCCAAACTGACGTGATATCCAAGCTTGCTTGGGTTCAAACTGCCTCGGAAACCAAATTATTGAGCTACCCGCGCAGAAAATTTCCGGTCAAAATCTGGCCGGAAGTTCATGCCGGGATAGTAAAGAGTATTGCTAACAATTCCAACGCGGTAGATAGTCTATCAGTCTGCCCCGATGTAGATGCTCTGCTGGGAGCTACCTCACCAATTCTATTTGACGTGAAGAGATAGCAAGAGCTCTGAATGTTACTCGTCAAGTGGACTAGCTTTCTTTAGTTTTTGAGGAAGGTCCTATTTCTTTAATCTTTCTTCTTCCTTACTGACAATGCTAAGGTTCTCACTTCTTTCTAATTTGAGCCGCAACACTTTGCGATTTCCGATACGGGCTGTTATATATCTTTATGATCCTATTGGATTGGACTTTGATTGTCTTTTACGGTTAGGAACAGCCTCTATCGTGCAAACCGGACCAGCTGACCAGGTTTATAGTGTTACCGATGGCTCGTTTTTTCTTCTTGAAATCAAGCAAGAAAACCATTATTGCGTCGCACCCTCTAAGATTTACGGGTCCTGTAGCCAATGAATGTATTAAATATTGTTTACCGATTTCATAAATATGTTTAAATTAATCTTCTATCTAAGTCGAGATAGTTTTTTTCAGCTTTCTGGTCGCTCTTCCTCGAATCCTTATCGTATTGCACCATTCGTTGGTACTCGTTTGCCGTTCAACGGCACAATTTCTAAAGATATTGTCCTTCACAATCCATTCACTAGTACTTTCAGAATTACGGAGGTAACTTAAGCCATCAGTTGTACTCATTGTTCTTTCCTATCTGAAAGTTCTTCAGGTAGTATCGTCTGGTGGTAATGTGCATGTCGAGATGGCCTATGATATAGACGGGAAAGTAGCAGGAGAACCACTTCAATATTGGGTTCGTATTTGTTATGATTTTTTGTATATTAGCGTTTTTGTGAGAAACTGCGCTGGGGAAAGGCGGAAACTGGCTATATGCAGCAAAATTGCGACTATGCTTTGGGAGTCTCTCATTTTTCAGTACACGTTTTTCCTTCAGGATATTCGTCCATTTCAAACTAAAACAGTCTGTCGCGCCGTCATTGTCGGTCACACCTTGGAGAATACTACCGCTTTCGTTCGATTCACAGGATTACTTCTGGATCATGATGGGTAAGTTT